GTTCTCATTCTGCAAAACGTGATCTACGCTAACTGCTTGTTTAATTTGGGAGTCCATCCTAAAAAACCCGTTATTTTTATTTACTCTGCTATACGTTGATGAGCCCCTTCTAAAATTTTTTAAGGATTGCGCCCTACGACTCAAAGGCACAGTCAAAGGTACTGTCTCTTTTGTTGGAAGGTATTTCTTTTGCATTCTCATGCAAATAAAAAAAATTTTAGACTATAAAGTGTTCATTAGAAAGCGTGACCATAGTGTACATAACAGGTAATTGGTGTAGCTGATCAAATCTGGCCTACACTATTTAAACCTAGTCGAATTACTTTATTGGTCGATAACGATAACGATAATAATGATAACGATAAATTGATCATACTGAAACTCCGTGATAGAAATTGCTTGAACAAGTTGACCATTAATTATTCATTTTGATTTGTTACTCGTACAGCTGCCTGGACCATTGCTTTATGTAATTAAGTAAATGCTAATTGTGATGTTTACCACACAGTATCATAACTTCAAATAGGAGTGAAAGCTATTTACGTTACTGATTATTGTCATGAATCGCTATCGCAACTTCCATGACAAATAATCGAATGTAAACACATTTCATAAGTTGACGCTGCATCAAAAAATAACGTCAAGACAGTTGTTAATGATACGACTTCAACATTTATCAACATTTGGAAAACTAGATATATTTTTTTGCTAAACATAAACTGTATTTGTAGATAATGATAGAGACGTAGCACTAATGAAACGACTGATCTTTACAGTTGTAAATTTTATGATGAAAGTAAGTATACAAGGTTTATCGCTTTTAATTTTTACACACACAGTCAATAATTATACCGTAATTTGCGGCAAATAGTACCCCAGGTCTCTTACATTCCTAGGAACAAAATCTTGATTAGTACCCGGTGGGTACTTCGTCAGGTGGTGGGTATTTTACGCGGGGGAGTTTATATACGGAAGATACTTCAAATGCAATTAGGCTGACCAATCACTTAATAGGATTATAAAAAAAAGATATAAAAGATGTCACGCACTATGTAAATTGCGTTTTAGATATACCCGGGTCTTTTACAATCATGTTTACGACACATACTTGACTAATCCCAGGTACAAATCGTGGGGGTACACTAACAAGGGGGTACTATTTACCACAAATTACGGTTGCTTTCAGGAAATTATTTATCTTAATTATTTCTTCTCGATTCAAACATGTTCTGCTAACCGTTTGAATATATGAGTGATGCCAAAGGAAAACCAGAATTCGGGCTTTAAAGTTTATTATTCATTATTTATCAGATTCAGCCCTGAAGGCGACACATTTGACACGTAGTTATGTCTCATATCAGGGCTGAGTCTAGTAAATATAAATAATAAACTTGAAAGTCCTGAGTCTGGTTTTCCCTTTGCACCACCCATATTTAATGAATTTCTGACTATAAACGTGATCAATGATAAATCGAATAACAAGAATCTGGGGATCAATTATTGCAGTATCTTTAGGCTTAGAGACCTGCAAACTACCAATTTTTGTAGCCCGACCCGCTTTTACAGTTGTTATCATTATTCCTGGGACACCTTATGAAAACTTGACCGATTCGATAAATTATTGATTTCGGCATGATCAATATAACGTTTATTATTTACGAAGATAGTCTAAAGCCAGGTACGTACGTACGTAGGTGCTAATCGATTTGTAAATTAAAACTCACGTGAAACTACCAGGCTTTAAAATGAGTGACAATTATTAATCGATAATGACCAAATAACCAATATCGATATAACTCTAGTCAAGTATGATACTTTCGAAGCATATTCACTAGAAATTAGCCGAAGGATTATCAATTCGAACAATTGCTAAACACTTAGGTGTTGGCAGATCTTCAATAAGTCGAGTTTTCAACCAATTTCAAAGATATGGATGCGTTGAAAAGCTTTCGCCGCTTGTAAGAAAATCAAGTCTATTAAACCTGTATGATATAAAATATCTTAAAACTTTAATGGAAGAAAAACTTGACTGATATTTGTATGAGTTACAATCAGGAATGGAACTTTAATTAGGATGTGAAGGTAGAGATCGTAGTTTCACGTGAGTTTAATTATTAACGCCTTCGTACGTATCTGGCTTTAGACAATCTTCGTAAATAATAAACGTTACATTGATCATGCAGAAATCAATAACTTATCGAATCGGCAGAACAATAATTCAGTTAATTTTCATAAAGTGTTCTAGGAATAATGATAACAGCTGTGATTTTAAAAATTTTTTGCCGGCCAGCTCGTTTTAATTAATGTTGGGGATGATGCTGAAATTTTGAGTCTTAATTTGAAAATATAAACCTTACTAAAATCCACCTATACTCTTTTATTACAAACACTACTAAATTCTAATCGAACTATAAAAACAAAGCTGAAAACATTCCAAAAAATTTTAAATTTTCATAATAAAATAAGTCAAAATTTCAGCATCTTTCCTAACAATTAATTTAAATTTTAGGCCCGCCCAGTTCATAAATATGTAATCATTAAAAAAAATAAATATATTATTATTCATCGCCAGTGCAATACATTGCTACTTCTTGATCAATTAATGTTTTGATTTCATAGGTAATAATACAGTCTCGGATATTACCAAATATGGAAATTGATCTACTATTAGTAAAAGACTATTCTAGAACCGATTTATATAGTATTTTTGTTTTTTTAAAAAAAAAAATCGTTTAATAATAAATTCTCAAATTAATTTTAATATAAATTGTCTTATGACTATGTAGTCTAAGAATCTGCCATGATCCCAATAGCTTTAAAAGGTAGTTGTTTATCAAATAAGAAAACAAACGGTGATTGGTGTAAATTTAGCCTCAAGGATTTTCATAGACTAGTCATAGACTTAAATGGAAGTCTTGAGAACTTTCTAATCATACAAAAAAGGGGGTGCTCTGCAACATCCAAATTTAATAATATCCAAAACTATAATAGCATGCATCTATTTATCTATCAGCTTACGTAATATTTCTGATGATCTACGCCTACTCGGCCAATCAAAATACATCACAGGAATATATATAGGGTGTCATCTATTAAAACAGCCCATTTTTACATTTTTTCAAAACTTGTTTTTTTCGATTTTATAATAAATATATTTGGTAAAAAGATTTACCATAAGTCATGAGCTCAAATTATATAATAAAAAATTTCGTAAAGTACAAAAAACTAAAAAAAACCAAAGAAATCTAAAAATAGAAAATCGGGATTTCTGGATCGACAAAAATTCAATAGAATATTCTGAAAATGAAGATCTAAATTCTTATAATGCAATAACGGTAATAAAATTAAAGTTACATATTTTTACTATCTTTAACTATTTTTAACTATTTTAACTTTTTTATTAAAAAACTTTTTTTTTTAAATTAGGTTTAAACTTAAAAGGGACTTTCTTTTAGCTAATTAAAAAGAACCTTAACGTTAAATTCAAATCAGAAACTATAAGTATAATTGCCTTTTTGAAGTTTAGTGAACTTGGTTAAAAAACCATTAACATACTATATTTCATAGAACTAGTGTTATAAATTGATCTTTACAGACGTACTAATGTAATTGGTTGATTACGACAGTTATGCGTGAGGTAGGGGCGCATAACATATTTGTAAAAAGAATTTAAGTTTTTTTTTGTGAATTTGGTTCAAAACTGCTACTAATGAAGTTTTTTTTTTTAACTTTAATGAATTGAATTCAAAAGCTACTAGCAAAGTCTTCTTAAGTTTAGTGGATTGGGTTCAAAACTACCAAAGTGAAGCCTTTCTTTTTAACTCTAAAAAACTGCTAGTATTTTTGCCATTTGAATGATCTCTATGGACGTAACGAGATAATAGATTGGTTACGACAGTTATGCATGGGGCATAACAGATTTGTAAAGACAACTTAATATTTTTTTAAGTAGATTTGGTTCAAACTACTACTTACAAAGTTTTTTTTTTAATTTTAATGGATTGAGTTCAAAAGCTATCAGCAAAAGTCGTATTAAGTTTTAATAGATTGGATTCAAACTACCAAAGTGAAGTCTTTTTTGAATCTAATTAAACAGCTGCTAGTATTTTTTTGCCATTGAAGCGGATATGTTGTGAATAGTCTCTATGGACATAACAAGATAATAGGTTGGTTACAACAGTTATACGCGAGGTAGAGATGCATGACAGATTTTTAAAAACAACTTAATTTTTTTTAAGTGGATTTGGTTCAAACTACTACTTACAAAGTTTTTTTTAATTTTAATAGATTGAGTTCAAAAACTATTAGCAAAAGTCATATTAAGTTTTAGTAGATTAGGTTCAAACTACCAAAGTGAAGTCTTTTTTGAATCTAATTAAACAGCTGCTAGTATTTTCTGCTATTGAAGCAGATATGTTGTGAATAGTCTCTATGGACGTAACAAGATAATAGATTGGTTATGATAGTTATGCACAGGGTAGGGGCATATAACAGATTTTTAAAGACAACTTAAGTTTTTTTTATAAGTAGATTTGGTTCAAAACTATCACTGTCGAAGTTTTTTTTTTAATTTTAATAGATTGAATTCAAAAGCTACCAGCAAAGTCTTCCTAAGTTTTAGTAGATCAGGTTCAAATTACCAAAGTATTTTTTTTTGAATCTAATTAAAATTTGCTAGTATTTTTTGCCATTAAAGTGGATATGTTGTGAATAGTCTCTATGGACGTAACAAGATAATAGATTGGTTATGACAGTTATGCACAGGGTAGGGGCATATAACAGATTTTTAAAGACAACTTAAATTTTTTTAAGTAGATTTGGTTTAAAACTATCACTGACGAAATTTTTTTTAATTTTAATGGATCAAGTTCAAAAGCTATCAGCAAAAGTCATCTTAAGTCTTAGTGAATTGGGTTCAAACTGCCAAAGTGAAGCCTTTTTTGAATCTAATTAAAAAACTGCTAGTATTTTTTGCTATTGAAGTAGATGTGTTTCGAATAGTCTCTATGGATATAACAAGATAATAGGTTGATTACGACAGTTATGGGGTAGGGCGCATGACAGATTTTTAAAGAAAACAAGTTTTTTTATAAGTGGATTTGGTTCAAAACTATCACTAATGAAGTTTTTTTTTAATTTTAATGAATAGAGTTTAAAAGCTACTAGCAAAGTCTTCCTAAGTTTTAGTGGATTGG